TCAGTATTCAGCCACATTAAAAATTACTATTTTAGTGGCGCGGCGCGCAGCGGCCTGGCGTAATACTCACCTCTGATCATTGTTAATACTTAATCAGCCATCTTTATGGAAAATATTTTGGTATTTTTAAATGTAAACGTTGTTTTATAAAACGCCGATGCAATTTAAACGAATAAGATGTTTTTATGTAAATATAAGTTTTAATGACGAATGACTTACGTCACAAAGCACATAAATATACAACCTCTTTAGTTCTATGTTTAATACTTGAAACAACAGTCAATTTAAAAAAAATAGAAAAGTAAAAAGCACTAGTGCGAAAAATCCAACTTTCGGCACGATTTGTAATACGAAAAATACCACGTTTTGAGCAACTGTATTAAAAACTACAATTTCTAAACTTATTAACTAAATCACTTATATTTATTTATTGAGATTTTCTGTGAAATAACTCCACTAGTTTTATTATGATTATGAACACAAACATCGAATACACAGAAAAATTTCGTCGAGTGGTGGTCACAGGTCCAATAGTTACGGTCTGTAAAGTGCCCGACACTTTGATTTGTTTGAAAACACATATATACGAGATTCAGATACGAAAAATATTTAATTTCCTATATATAACAATCGCAAAAACCTAAGCACTGGAAATCTGAATAAACTCATATAATGGCGTAAACATGTGTCTTGCAATGACCTTGGTAGACGACTCCATGTCCTTCCCTTTTAGGCACTCTACTCTCTTTACCTTAAACAACGCATTGTCTTTTACTCTTCAACTACGCCGTCCTATTAACAAATAGCGAATAGGCGCCTATGATACACTAATACTAAATATGACCGCATTTAATAATAATATTATTATATAAGGTCACATTATAGCACTACTTATATTTTCATTGCATACAATTTTTTTTAATAAAATCACATGAAGCTAGAAAATGTTTTTATTTTTCTTCTTTATATACTCAAGTTACATTGACCCTTATATACATATATTATAAAGTAACATATATAATAATATAAGAAAACACTATTTATTTATATTGAATTGATATTCCATTATTTTTTGTGAAAATACTGCACTAGTTTGTTATTTTTTATTTCGTATTTGTAAGTGTTCGCACTTACAAATACGAAATACTTTCAGAGATTTCTCATAGATGGCGCTACAGCTAAAAAGTCGTTAAAAAACCAAATACAGATAACCGGTAAACAAGCACATAAAAAACTTCGTGAGGTCCGCTGGTTCGCTCCGTGGCTTAGTTGGCATAGCATCTAGCACGGTTTGCTAGAAGACGTCGGTTCGAAACCGGCCGGATCGAAGGAATGTTTTTTAAGTGTTCGATCTTTGTATTAATAATTATAACGAACTATTTATTTATTTACACGTATGGACTGGGTACTGCCGTTGGGGCGGAAAGGTTCTTCAATGGCGACCGCGCACCGGACGACGCTCAGTGGGTAGCCCCCCACCAGGTGGACCGACGATCTGGTGGAGGTCGCGGGAAGCCGATGGATGCGGGCAGCGCAGGACCGATCGTCGTGGAGATCGTTGGGGGAGGCCTATGGCCAGCAGTGGGCGTCGTATGGCTAAATGATGAAATGGACAGCGACGTGTGACGCAACGTGGGTGTCCGATAACCGGCCTCAGAAACGTCGATACACCACAAACGGAAGCGTCTTGACACCTTTCCGCCAAAACTCCTGCTTCGTTAAGGTCGACAGATGTGGAGTTGGTGCTCTGGGATTTGTTCGTTATTCATTATAAGTTTGACATGTATATAAATAAATATAAGAAAACTGATATGTACTTAAGTTTAAATATTTAGTAAACAATTAAATCATTAAAATTTCCTAAATATATTTTGTAAAATATATTAATTACTGTAGTAAACGTTTTTAAAGCATACTTACCCCTACTCCGAAACTAAAATAACTACGCCACCCATCGATCTCATCATCGAAACGTATTGACAAATCGATAAAATAAATATAGTTTTCACAAACATAACGATGTTTGAAAAATTGAAACGTTGGTTGAAAAAACTTACATGCTGTTTTATGCCTTATTGTACTTAGTTGCACGAATAACAGAATTACTTTTTCCATTATAGTTCGACTCTATACCATTCGAAGTGCGACCGCGCTCACGGGCCGGGCTCGAGCGGATTTGTTTTATGCCCACCGAAGACATCGACTTACCGCGACCACCCCGAGGCGCCTTCTTAATTTTATTACGCGACCCTGCCCCGCCGCGCCGTCCCGCTGGGAAAGCTCCTAATTGTATCTCAGGAAAACCACACTAGCTTCACATACCAATTTCGTCGAGGCAAGTATAGATACAAAGTGTAGCCATACATAAGAGTAGGTTTCTTTCTGTGTAGCTGCCGTATACCTACATAACTATTAATGGACATTTGTTCAAATAAGAATAGTAACAACTTTATATGTAGAGTAAGTAGGAGACGAGTGTAATTAATTGCTAATGAATTCCAACTGATATTTTATTCTACTAAATATTTATTATTATTTCTAATTTAATCTAATTTTTAGCTTATCATCAGGCGCACGACTTGACAATATAACAAAAAAAACTATTTACAGTCAATTCGGGTAACTTTGAACATTTTTTGCGTTTTTCTAATAATTTCAAATTTAATTCTGTTTCTTAACAATTACTTTATTAACGGAATAGTGTTCTTTTAAGCCCTTTTTTCGTTCTTATAGAAGGAATTTAGTAATTATTCAACAAAACTGTTCTAGATTTGCTCCAAAAGTCACATTCAAAGTTGCCTTGAATTTTGGGTAACTTTGAATAAGATTAGCCTTCGATATGGAAACCGTATATTTTCTAGATATTTTACAGTTTGTGTAAGATTATACGACATATTCATATTTTTTAGACGTGAATCTGTCCAAATATTCCTGACAGTGCGTTCAAAAACGACATTTGACTTGGTATTGCCATAATAAAACGAGACGAACCAATTTAGTTGAAATGAAAAACTTGTTTTTTTTTTAGATTTTTTAATTAATGCGAATAAAAATGAAAATTTTCTGTTTAATAATAAATTCTACGCTTATTTAGCTATCAAATGAGATCAAAATGAATCACCTATAACAATTATTTTAGGCAAAGTAAATACATAACAAAAATCTATTCACCCCACTCCTTGAATAAAATGTCGTCATCAATATAAATACGGCCGCCTTTTCTAGATAGCTGTTGCTCTTTTATAATATTCACAATATCGGCTTTATTAACTTGACATTGTCTCAACGTTAGAGGGCCAAGACCAACCTCCTAAAAAGCATTTTTGGAGCACTGAGACAGTAATTTCCAAAGGAGTAACTTCTAGAACTCTCCCTGGAAACAGACTACCCTCTTCTCTAAAAACACAGTCAAACACATTCAAGGTTACTCAAATTTCTCTCTTTGGTAACGTCGTCAAAATCTAATTCGTTTTACGCGTAAATACAAAACCAAATTAAATTATTCTTTAAAAAAGCGATATATGAACTTCTACTTAAGTGTGGAAACCAAAACTTACCAGTCAATATTCAGATTTATATATTTAATTCCGATTCTAAAACTGAGCAACAAATCACACCAAACTACTTTCGCCAAGAAAAAACCGCGAAAGTTTAAAAAAATACAATTTAACATTACTTTTTTCTTTCATATCTTTCGTTTAACAATTTTGTTCCGATTTACACAATTTCAGTACTAAAAATAAAAGATTGTCATACATAAAATAAATTTTTAAATCTTTTACGCAACTACGTTCAAAGTTACACCACGATTCAAAGTTACCCGAATTGACTGTATTATTTTTGATTTTAATCTAATTTCTAATTTTGAAAGCCTGTCACTCAAAATCTCCAGTTACAGTCATTTATTTACCCAATCACTATTAAATAAAATTCGTAAGCTGACTGATGGTTACTAGTGGTAAACACGAATTTCGCTAAATGTTGTATTATAGTGAAGTAGTCTTCTGACTATAAAATAAATATACACAAGTAGAGTACTTATATACCAAAATAGTACTTAATTACACACTCCACTAAATAAGTTAAGGTATCTTTTACCTAGATTATTAAAAATTAAAATGTAGAGAGCAATATAATTTCAAATAGTGGTTTATACATAGATTTAGTATATATACTAAATCTATGGGTTTATTTGAATGTTTTGTTACCTAGCGTCGAGTAGAGAAACTTTTAGGTATTCAAGCAGTGGAAGTAATATTCAGCTTACACGCTAGATGGCGCAACATTATGCATACATTTTTTATTAGTAAGAGTTTTGACTTGGCTACAAGTCTTTTGAGCCATGTCTTCATTTAATTATCGGGATCATCAGGAATATTTTTCATTGTGGTCCTAATACAGTATGTTTTCACTTTCTCATAAATAATTTAGTTTAATTTTTTAAATAGTCTTAAGCGCCGGAAGTCAATATTCGTGTCTTCATTTTTACTTAAATCACATTATCTTCTATCACTTTGAACTAAAACTTTGTATTGGTAATTATTAGAATTTTTAGGATAAATTCTTTTGTAATTTGGTTTAGATTATGGAATATAGTGCTAACTTTCTCCATCACCATTTCTTTCTTCGTTTTTTCTTCATGATATACTTAAAATAAAAATAATCTTTGTAAAAGCTGTACTTGTAACTTTAAAAGCCCGCCATTTTTTTCCCTTGCATTCATGATATTAACGAATAATAAAAAAAAATTCGTAACAACAAATACTCAAAATTTTAAACCAGATTTATGTTAAAGATATCAGAAATATGTTAATTGTTTCGAGATGAATATTTAGTAGGAAAGTTTTCAATTGTTATTTCAATGATTTTCGTGTGTCGTGTGCCTCTTGAACTTGTACTGACACTGACATATAACTGACATTTTCGTTCTATCGGGCATCGAGAAGTGACTTGACACTTGTTTATCAATCAATACGCAATAACTTACAATAAAGTAAAATTATTGAGTATTTAGTCTTTTTGCCGCGTAGAACATAAGCGGACATCGAGGGATAAAATCCACAAGTCCAAAATGTTAAACACGCTCTCCGTGTGTTTAGTTGCCTTATCACTCTTTTGCAGTACAAGTAAGTAAAGTTTTTGTATCGTTTATTCTTTGCAATTCGTCCTTGTAACGTTCGGTATTTGTGCAATTTTTAATTAAGTTCACCAGTTAGCCATTCATGCAGTAAAATTATTAGAGAGGCAGTAGTCTATATATCAATGCATTAACTATTGTTTTGATAATTATTCTGTTTTACAAAAGAATTACATATTACTGGAACGTTCGAATGTTTTAATTGCTTTGGGGGCTAATTAGATGATACTGTAACCTCTCCTTAGATCTGTTAATAAGTCTTGTAATATTTCAACTTGTTTTTTAATACCTATTGATTTAAATGTACATTATACATAGGTACCCTCATTTTGGTAGTGTTATATTCGTACTAAATAGCGATTGCGTGAGGCCATCATTTGCATCGGATTCATTGTTAGATCATGCTCATGTTTATCAACTTTGTTTTGCCACTTGTTTTGCGCACAGAATGTCTGTACAATGCTAAGTATGTTCTTTTGTAACATGTTCCATGAATAATATAAAATGATATTTTAAACACTTGTTTACACCTTTTACACTTGAGACTATACAATTCTGAAATAATCTTTGAGAGAGCAATTGTTATAGTTTATCTTGTGCTCCTATATTTTGAATTGTTTATATTTTGGTCTGTCAGGAAATAATTTAGGAGCATCATAACAAAAATCAATGAAGCATATTTTGTAAGTCAAAAGTTCTTCTTGTTTGGCATTAAAAAATGGTGTTTTTTGTACGTTTCTATGGTTATATAATTCAAACTGAATGGCAACTGCTAAATTTTTGTTCAAAATACATTTAAAATGCTCTGACATGAACAAAATGCAATAAATCTATTCAATGAAACTAGATGATCTTACGGTCGTATTCCAGAACTCTACTCAATACTCAAGTCAGGACTTGAGTATTGCAGTGAGCACTGAAAATCATACTCAAGTCCTTGCCATTGGGGTCGTATTTCCAGTGCTTGAAATCATACTCAAGTCTACTCAAATCCTGACTTGAGCATTGAGTAGAGTTCTGGAATATGACCCTAAGACTCAAAATTTATTGTATTCATCAGTTTTTGTTCTGAAGCTTCTCAGTTTTTATGCCAAATGTGTGTATATGTGTATCTGTGTTATTATCTGACTTACTTTATAATAAATTGCTATTTGTAATTTCACTTTTAGTAAGCCAAATTGGTTGTGTATCACAATGGCATTGATATTAACATAGGTACATACAAGAGGTTAGTTTTTTTAGCTTAGTTTGTGTAAAGCCGTTCTGTGAAAACTCTGAAACCCAGTGTTTTAGTATTCCAACCCATTTTATTAAAACTACTATAAAGTAGTAATACTATAAAGTAGTAGTAGTAGTAATGATAACATTAACATGAAAAAGTAAATTTGATATCAAAGTTTCAATAATTTATTTCATCTAGTTGTTATAAAGAAAAAAAATTAGATCTTTCGAAATTGAGGGTTATAGCCAGTATGCAGTGAAAATACATACAAATGATTATTCATATTTGTATAAATGACACATACATATACAAATAAAGGAAGCATTCTTTACAGTAGTAGTGATTCATAAGTTACTCATGGTTATTGTTTATGATCATGTTTCCTGCATTTACCGAAACAAGGGATCACATTCCCATATTTATCAATAATATGAGTTGCAGTGATTATTACCTTGACAGTAATTTTTATTTAAATGTGGTGCACTGCTTTATTCATTTTTTTATGTGGTTACGCTGCTTTATTGGTTTCAAAAACAATGGTAGGAAACCTGCGCTTTGGTGTTTCAACTGCGAATTACATTGGATAACATTCAAAATAATATAGTACATAATAGACTACAATACTTACAAAAGAACTTGTTCTCACGTGACATAATTATTTGCTGATGTCCTATATATTTTTTTTTTTTTATTTATTTATTTATTTTAAACACTAAGAATATTACAAAAATATATATACATCACACAAATATATATGGACTTGTCGTTACTAATTCATGAATCACAAATTCGATACACATATGACGGTGCAGTCTCTTAAGTTGCATTGCAATTTGCAAAACAGCTGTTGTAAAATACTTTGTACTATCAGTCAAATTTTGTGAGTCTGCGAGACTGCATCCAAACAGCAGGTCATGTGACTATGCAATGTCAGTCGCCACCAGCCACTCGGCCAGGTTTTGGCCATAATGAACTATAATTGCAATACTATTGCATCATTCTTAAGTTTATTTACTTATTTTAACACATCACGCGATTGGCGATGAACTCTTCGCAGATACCCTACTTTGTATATTTTTTATTAGTGTTCTTTTGTTTGTTTTCTTCGTTAGTTATGTTTTACGTAACTTAGTGATTTTGTATATATCACCTTTATTTGTTAAGACTCATGTGCTTTTGTCAATGTGTGAATTTGTTAATGGCATTTAAATACTCATATTTATTATATAATTGTATCAGTAGTTAGATGGTGGGTTGTAAAGTAAGTACCACTATCTAAACTCTTCCTGTCAACCTCACCTATTTGCGGTACATCTAGCAGTAACTACCGCAGCTCTAGAGAGCGGTCGATAGATATATAGGTCTTCCTGCAATAGCACATCTAAATTCACTGACCGCCGATGGGCAGCAGCGTTATACTATGCTCTGCAATCTCCAACCCTGGACATTAACCCCACACTGAATGGCACATGACAAAATGGCACACATTGGGGAAGACCTGTGTGTCCAACAGTGGACTTCAATAAACTGATGATGAATTAGACTGTAAATTTTCCTAAATAATATTATTATTCTTTCCTATAAAACACATCGATCTCAGACAGACAATGAAGGTAAATTTATTTGCTGCAAAATAGTGTACTTAATTTTCCCACTTTTCCTCCGCATAAAGTCACAAGAATCACCACTAAAAACTTATATCGTTGTTGATTGTTCGACGCTTCTTCAATTTCTTAGACTGAGGGATGACCATTTTAACATGTTAACATGGATTTCCGCGAAGTAACGCTTGAATCTATTAATCTGAGACAGACTCTTCACCAGAACTATTTTATGTTAGCCAAATGCTATCATTATTTTTTAATGTTATGTTGTCCTGTAAATCGAGTGCTATTTTCTATCACGCCATTCACTACGTTATCAGTAATAATGTATTTTTTTAGTTGAATATCCTTATTACTTGTACTGCTTCTTACACTATTTAATCTAAACTAATGTTATAAATGAGAAAGTAAGTCTGTTTGTTGCGTTGTCATGCTTAAATCACTGAACCAATATTGATGAATTTTGGTGTAGAGATAGATGGGACCCAGGAGAAGGAACGTAGGCTACATTTTGCCACAAAAGTGTATCTTTGAAATAGGGATGAAATTTTGTATTGAGAACCTATAAAATTGAAAATTACTATAGTACAGCAGGTTCGAAGTACTTCGCAAATGAAGTCGCGGGCACCAGCTAGAAATATAATAAAATGACCCGAGTTAGACACACGCTACCGAATACTTATTGTCGTAACTTAAAATTGTGGAACAAAAACACACAAAAAAACACGATTATAAAATTTAAAAAAAAAACTGATTGAAAATATATTCTCATTTATAAACGGATAATTATTAAGTAGTATGTATATATTAAAAAAATCACATTATTCGTAATATAATCCATTCAGTGATTTTTATTATGTTCAAATATTTTTTTCTCAATTCTACAATGTTGAGTTACGAAAGTATTTGGTTTCATGTGCTATAGTATATATATTAGCAATAATGTAAATCTTCATTCCAAAAATTTTCAGATTATTATTATCTTTCTTGCAAAAACATCCATAATTAAAAATTAAATTATAAGTATTAAAATTAAGTTGAAAGATTCAAAATTTAAATAATTTTTATTTTAAAGCCCATCTCTGGCTTATTATTTATTAGTGGCTTGTTCTGTGTCTTTCACACTTCCGCCAATGTCACGTAGGTAGCCTCTACACGGTAGGAAGTAGATATTTTCCAATATAATTTTGACCATTACTGCTGTCTGTGAGACTCGAAGCGGGTTTATCTAAAACAAAGCAAACAGTTTTTTTTTAATAATTTTTGCAACATCACAGGACAACACAAAGCATAACCTAATAAATCAGGGTTATTAGTAAATTTTTTGGATAAATTAGTGATACGCAATGTAGATAAAAACAAGGTTTATAAAAAATATATATCTACAAATAAAAAAAATTAAACAAATAAATAAAAAAATACAATTTTCATTGGTTTATTGCCAAAAAGTTTTTAGATTTTCCATCTCTGGTTGAAATTTATGATGACGCATGATGCGAATCAAGCTTCATACTTGACATTATCTTATTTGGCTGAGTACTACTTATTTGACAGTAATTGTCTCGGACGGATGTCAGACGGAGAACGGTCCTTACTCCCTGAAAATATAGCAAACTGAAGTCCCTTGTAATCATATATAGAAAATTAGTCTATATTGCACATCAAGCGCACTTCCTTTGCTCATCTTCCAATTTCAAAGTAATTTTAATAACCTAAAAAATTTCTTTGTTCGTTATTCTAAGCCAAATAATTGAGTTAAATGACCCCATAACACTTAATCAAGTTCACACTCCGACTTCACTGATAAGATAACTTTAATATAAACTAGTGAACGACGTTTCATATGCATCAATAAGTCTTATCCCAAGACCAATGTCTCTTCATGTTTATTACAGGAGTAAACAGTCGTATAAATATATTTATATCCATAATTGACATCAATATATTTTAATGCAATAGTGATCTCATTAGCTAGTCTTGATGTTATTATTTGTGTCTCGATTATAGTATCTCATATATATTTCTAGTAACTGAAGAGTTTTATCTGAAAGTGTTCGTCCAGGCAAGTACTGCCATTTTACCTATATCTGCCGCAAAGCAGTAATTTGAGCATTACAACGTTCCGGTTTTGACGGTAACGGTGCTGGTGAAATTACAGGCACATGGGACTAACCGACTTATATCTCAAGGTGACGAGCGCAGTAGCAGTGCTCCTCAGACGACTTGTTCGTCCCGTGACTTGGTAGCATTAAAAAAAAAATTTAAACCCAACTCACGGGCCGAGACTTGATGGCTTACGTGAAGACATAGCTTCAATACTGGAGGCCCCCTTATTATTAAGGCTGCTGTTCAAGCCTTTTGCGGCTTAGTGTAACTTAGTGTAACGCAATTCCAGTAATTTGTCATTCATTATTATGTGGTTGCAAAAATTTATTTCATTTTTATTTGATGACGTCTTTGAATTGATCAATTCTGACCAATTGAGTTTAAGTCTAGGTTAATAGGTTATATTTTGTATTCCACGTGACTACTCAAATGGGTACGTGTTTTCAACAGTTCGATATAATAGCACATGCGACAAGTCGACTCAGACCGCAGCCGCATTACTTTTCCCTAACACTTTACCTGAAATTGCTGCGGTTTAATTCAAACGATAGATTTTTTGCTAATTCTATAAACAGCCCCATTCACCTATAGAAAAATTTATTGTTCTAGTGACGCTTCGCAGTCCGAATTTTAAACGTTTCTAAGGAACTTAACAATCGTGTTATATATTTTCAAATGATCAATTAAACATGGGCAACCGATCCCGGGTTCAGATGTTACATACCCCGATTTTTACCTATTTCTACCGCCAAGCAGTACTGTGAGCATTACTGTGGACCGGTTTGAAGGGTAAGGGTGCTGGTGAAATTACAGGCACATGGGGCTTGTCAACTCATGTCTCAGGGTGACAAGCGCAAAGCAGTGCTTCTCAGATCTATGCGATTAAGCTCTGAGCGACACTGCAACTGTTATGGACAGGCGTGTCGCTTAACACCAGGCGCACGACTTGTTCATCCCGTCACTTCGTATTATAAAGAAATCCTAATCGGTTTAGCAATTTTGGCTCGATGAGAGAACACATGCACACACGTACACAGCGTCTTTTGCATGAATATCAAACATAACTTATTGATGACTTTACCATCTCAGTCACGGGATACGTAAAAGGTTTGAAACGTTGGATTGTTTAAAAAAAAAATATAAATTTAGATCCGAAAAAACATTTTTTTTTTCGCTAAGCACTTGACATGTTTGGCATTGTCCGATAAAAATATCACAATTATAAGTATTGCATATTGCCCCTTTGGCACGAACCAACTTACAATTTTGACACAAAACGTGCGATTCTTAAATCATGTTCTACTTATTCATTGTCGTCAAAATTACTACACTTCACATTATGTATTTAAAAATAATGTTATTATTGTTATACGAGTACATAATAATATATGACTAAAATAATTATTTTGATAATATAGTATAGTTTATAATTTACATTTTTTGTACAATAATATCTAAGCATGCATGTTCAAAAGAATTACACGATTTATTTAATTGCAGATTTGTCGTGGGCGCGACAGGTACCAAAAGAATGCAATAAAGGCCCGTCGTATTGGTGTGAGAACCTAAGGTACGTATCAATGTCAGTTGTTATTTCCAAATAAATGCGCAGTCATGCGAGCTGCTTTCCGAATGCACCAGAACTGCAATATAATGGCAGGCGGGGCAACGGTATCGCGATTGAATCACGAACCACCAACTGCTGGTACAGATTGCATAAATATAACCAGCCTTTCACAAGGCATTGTAACTGCAACCCTTATTGTTGTTGTAACCTTAAACCATGAGTCCTTTTAATCAACGATAGGGGTTTTAGTATTAAAGAAGAGAATGGCATGTAAAAAAAGAAAATTATATTATTTCAATGCACTATTGCAATTGTAGGCAGGAATTGCCGATTCTGGCTCACTATACAACTAACTTAGTTTTCTTTTCATTTTTATTTATTTATTTATTAAAAAATAAGTGCGCATTTGACTTCCATCTCACTTGATGGAAAGTGACGATGAAGTCGACGATGGAGCATGCACACCTAAATAGTGCCTATTCACTCTCGCCTTGAAAAGGTCCAAGTTATAACGTTCAGGGAACAAGTCTGCTGGCAGGGAATTCCATAGCCGTTCGCCATATAAATGTGAAAGAGAAACGCTTCGGGCGAATTCTTAGAATATCCACAACATAGCTGTGGAACCTCAGCCTACGCCTGGACCCCCGGTGATGGAAAGAGGAAGGCGAAATTAATTCGTGCAATTCCCTCGCACACTCTCCGTGATATATCCTGTAGATAAACAGGCAACTTTACGGCGGTGTTCAAGGCTTTGCAGCTTCACCTCTACTAATTCTGAGTCACCTATAAGCCTCTTGACACGCTTGGCGATTGAATCCGAGGTGACCAGTTGGTATGTAACAGAGCCATCACATCCCCCACTCTAGAGATCCACTTAAGACTGTCACATATTGAGTCAAAACCGGCAATTCCTATCTACTTAAAGTATATTACGAATCAACCAAATATAAATACATTACGTTAATGATCTGAAATTCGTATAACGACCGGGACAATACATATATCTTTAAAGAAAGATTATCGATCGATTTACCCGCATTCGATGGTAAATATGAATCCATTGAACGCTTTTATAATAAAAAGATAAATCTGGCAATTAATTGAACGATGATGTGGGTGTCTAAAATTTAGCATGGCGTGAATCGTGATGGAAATATTTGACAGATAAGTTATTTTAATAATAAAAACTAATTTTGTGATAAAATGTTTTATGGACAGAGGTAAATATAAAAATACGACAAATCCTAAAATGAACCTCAAAATTAAAAAAGGCTTACCTTACTTACATATAACATGCAATCGAACATGAACATGGGTAAGTTACAAATAGAAATAATCATCAATTGGGTAATTTGTTTTTGAGATAATTGAGAAAATACTTACGTACATACAGGGGTATCAGAGAACCTCCAATGTAGTGGCAAATGTTTCATATAATGTCAATCTCAACGACTGGCCTCAGAAATTGATTCTCCAATTTAGCAGTAGCTAATGAATAGAAAATGTTATATTGTAGCATTCGAAATTTAAACATCCAAAAATTATGTAGGTATTATTTTCGGCAACCTATCACAAACTCGAATTTATTTTTTCCATAATCTCAGTACAGAGTAGTAAAAAAACCGACCTCAAAAGTACGTGGAATTACGTCTATTTGCTAAGTTTTATTGAAATATCCCCTAGTTCGCCACTATACAGGACTTGACACTGGAGATAATAAAAATCGGTTCTCACTACTCAAAGTATATTGAGAGAAAAACGCCTTGAATTGGAGAAATAGCAAAATCAACCATTAAAGTAATTGCTCCTAAATTAAAGTTAGGCGCTATTTATAAAAAATGACTCTTCATGCACACCCTTCGAGGTGGATGATTTTCTTCAAAATGAAATGGGACCACTATGGAAGTACCCCCTTTCCAAAAAAGAATCATGAAAATCGGTTCACAAATACCGGAGTTATCGCGTAACATACATACAAAAAAACACAGTCGAATTAAGAACCTCCTCCTTTTTTTGCAGCCGGTGTGACATATATTTATTGTTTCAGTATTATGTATGTATATATAGTGTCAGTCTTTGTAGTTTACGTAATTTTCGTAAGGATAAACACAAAAAAAATCATAATTTATAACATTTGACACAAAACACTGTGGATCGTATGCACTTGAATCGATCTTCATAAACATCGAATCGTAATGTGCATCCTCGGTAGTGAAAATCCACAGGGTTGCAAGGTGAGTATTATATGGAGTTACCTCTTTTTCGTCTAAAAAAGATTTTTTTACATCGAAATTTGTAATAAATATGGAATTATACCTTATTCCATATTCACCGTTTCTGCCCACCCACTACCCATCTTCGTACACAAATCACATAAGTGGCGTTACGTCAAAAACGTTAATTGCTCCATTAGATACAAAAAAATATAACCCACACCCTCTCCAATTCTTGTAACTCTATCCACTAATATTGTAGATAGAGTTACAAGAATTGGGTGGGGTGGGGGGAATTGGAATAGGGGTGCGTAAATGTTACTTCTTAGACTCTCTTCCGCTATTGGGAGCAATCGTTCTCTCCCACTGGGCTACCACCGCTCTTCTACATATTCGTACATGTATTTGAAATATTTTTTGTCCAACAGGCAAGGTGCAGATTGCGGTGCGGTGCAGCACTGCATAGCGACAGTATGGGAGAAACAGAACGAGACGATCACTACCAACGAGGTCTCCGGAAAGATCGTCCATGTCTTCAAGGAGCTTAAGGATGTTAAGGATCTTATTAATGCGGTAAGATTGTTTTTAAAGGTCAAACGCTACTTGTCATCTAAAACTTGTTTAAGTAGGCGTGTCACAGAATCAAATAGATATACTCGTGATTTCACGCCCGTAAAAAATTAATTAACAAGAGTTAATGTGAACAACACACTTATAGGTTAGCGTGTGTTGGAAAATATTTACACGGTGTCAGCGGCAACGTCATTGCCTAGTGTGACTGAGCAATGCTTCCACTCTTGCTTACATATCGACTCATCCGTAGAACAAAGGCTTATGTGTAAGACTGTTTATTCTCAGAACATTGTACATTTCGTTCGTTGTTCTTCGCTGTCGGTATAGATTGACTGATGTTCGATTTTATATTTCCGAAACGAAATAAGATATAACAATCCTGAACGAGATTTTGTATTTATCATATTATCGTAACTACTAAATTTTAAATTAATTAACCGACTTCAAAATGGAAGGAGGATCTCAATTCGACTTTTTTTGTGTATGTTACGCGATTCTTTGTGAACTGATTTTGATGATTTTTTGTTGGAAAGGGGGTGCCTCAGTATTGATCCCATTTAATTTTTTAAGAAAATATTCCACCTCTAAAGGTGGCAAACTAGAGGATGAATCTGATTTCACACACTTTCTGGTAACCGATTTCATTAAAATTTCGCTAGATATATAATAATAGATGTAATTCCACGAATTTTTGAGGTCGATTTTTTTATATTAAGAATAATAATAATTTAATAAATGTTTATTTGTCGAACAACAAGGGTTCATTTGTATTAGTTCTTACTAAAAACAACTATTCTTAATCATTTTTATAAGCTAATATTAGTACTTAAAAAAAGTAAAAAGAAAAGCTCAAATAGACTTAATTCTATATTATAAACTTAATTCTATATGCAGTCTATTTACATTCTACTTGAAATGGCGCAACAGTGGCCAATATAATCGCAGTCCATTATGTGGGTGAGGGTGATCACTTTTTTTAACGTGCCAGAAAACAACACCAATTGCCTAGTCTCAAACTAGGGTATTCCCTGTACTAGAGTACCAGAGCAACGGAATTCACTCTGGGGCACTTCCCAGAATACCCAGACCGGAACTAATTTAGAAAAAATTATTTCCCAGTTTGGTCATACCAGGAATCGAACTCGGGACCTCTTCTTCCAGCGCTCACATTACAAATCGTTGGGCTACCGAGGTCATCAAAAATCATGTAGCTGACTTGTATTAGGGATACGCATCTTTTACGCTTTGTGGCGTAAAAACTAACCATTATGTGCTCCAGGAAACATGCCTGATACACTACAAAAGCGCGGTGACCCCAACAGCACCCTAAACGCGTTATTAAATTGACTGTACTACAAAAACTCATGAAATTCATTATGGTGCCATCTATTTGCACAATATAAAACTATGTAGGTACTTGAGAGCTGACGCTGAACTGTTGAGACAATGCCGTGCACGGCGTGTTTGCAGAACTCATTCATACGCATGGCATCTATATCTAAATGTGGAACTCGAATATGAACCTAAAGATTATGGGCGTACCTCTATCGCTTCCTCCATTCCTCAC